TATCGCCGTTTATAGAATGATTGATACAACTCCATTCTTATTTTATTCACTAATATAATGTACTGCTGCTAGCAATATGGTCAGTGCCCAAATTTGCCCAGTTTGTAGATCTAGATTGTTCACTCGAGATGCTAAATATGGTTTTTATTTTACAGTTAATAATTAATAGCATAGCAAACTTATACCAAATACAGATGCTTTCATCGATATTTCAGTTTCAAAGTATGTTGAAATGAGTATCATAATCAATTTTTGATCCAATTTAATTTACTGCCAAAAATAGCTGCTATCATTATACTCATTAAATAGATAGCAAAAAAAAAAAATTAATTTGATTTAATCAAGATATTTTCTCTTAGAATACATAATCAAAAAGAGTGAAAATGGAGCTAGGCATCCAAAAAGGATTAAAATTGGAATCACAAAGTAGAACATCCAAATCAAATGAGTTTAATTACCATAAAGTAAAGAGACATCCTCTTGAATATAATTAACATTCGAAACTTATCGATTAGAGATTATAGAACATAACCTAAAATTAATGATATTTTTACATTTTAATCAAACCTGCATAATTAAATATGTATAAGCTAAGTAAAGTGTTTGAAATTATGCTAGAATTATATTTTTGATTAATTAAAGTTTAATAGATCATAAATCCTGTGATAACGAAAAGAAATTGCATAAAAATAAAAATGAACATAGTCAATATTTTGGAATAAATTAGATCTACATTTTAGATATTTGCCAAATAACAATCTAAATTATTAGCCATAAAATATGAAGTATTACTGGCTGAATCAATGAAAAACAATGAAATAGAAAATTGTAAATTAAAAGTAAAGCTTAGTGAAAATATCCATAAGTAATTTAACAGCATTTTTATCAGAATACTTTGATGATCTAAATTTAGTCAATAAATACCCTAGTTTAATTTGAATAATATATTATTAAATCTTTCGGTGGACTTTAGTTGTGAAAACATTAGATTAGATTTTTCTATACTTTTTAAAGTCAGCATTATTGAACAAATCGCCCTTAAATTATAATATAATAATACCATAGTAATGTGAATACAAACGATGCAATGTTGTTAGCTTATTCTTAGCAGATCTGATACTCAAGATTATGTTAACTTTTAAAATATTTTCCTCCTCCCATTATATTTTATATATGACACTCTTCACATAATGCTCCTATGTGTCCAATATGACATAAATTATTTCCATAACTCCATCCTCCTATACAAAAATCTTTATTCTTAAGACAATAGCTTGTATAATCTGATAAATGATCAGGTCTCCAAAATCCTTAAAGCAAATTCATTTTATTCTAGGTTATTTCTTTGAATTTTGATTTATCAAATATTGAACACTTTATATCATTTTATGTTACTGAATAATATCCTTAACTAGCAATACATTTTTAACATCCCTATTATGTATAATATTCACCCAACTAACATTTAATACTTTTAATATTCATGCTATAGTTTAAAGATTTATTTGATTAATCTATTTTACATGATGCATCGATCTGCCAATACTTATTATTTTAGTCATAAGGCCAATACTACTGAAATCAAACCCAAATCAAAATAGTTCCTCTAAAATTAAAATCTATACTTGCTATTCTTTTGAACTCCTATATTGATCCATTCTTATATTATATAAAACTATTGAGGCTACAGCTTGAGTTAATTAAATTAAAAAGCTATTCATTCCTACTGTTTTTAAATGATAGCACAATCTCATATATATATTACAAAGTTTTTGAAGTTTTAGGCAATACTATTTGATAATTTTTAAATTCCTAACCATTTGGAAGCATGAGGTGATTAGTATAGTATTACTTTTCTTGTTCTATAATCAGATAAGGATCAATTATTAACAATTATTTTGAAGAAGCATTACTTTCAAGATGTATTGAGCGCAACTCTTTTTAATTAATAATTAAGGCTAAATGTGTTGGGGTTTCTATCAAATTATTTGCAAAGACTTGAGCATTATTATCTAGCAATTAAGTCTAAATGAAATTAGTGTCTTCCAAATTGTATTCTCCATTGAAATAAATACATCCTCCTTCTTAAGCCTAATTATTTAATATTATCGATTAATTACT